CATTCAGAGATCGCATGTTCGAATACTCCGAGCTTTTTCGTTTTTCTTCATTTCCCGACCAGGCTACCGCAGCGTGACTTCCAAGGCGCAGTCAACTTGCATCGTGGCGTCGTAGCCACGTTCGTTAAACGTGCAAAACAGATTCGAAGGTTAGCGGTTCGAATTTCTGTCGAAGTAAGCTTTTTCTCAGTCCAAACACTAACACTCCGGACACAGCTGGTGCTATATCCTGTTGCGAATTGGGATGAACAAAAAAACATACGCCGGGGCCAGGAGACACAACCGTGAACTTCAAAAATTTTGTTTCTCTTGTCCTTTGGGCGGAAGCGGTTTCGTAGTCAGCAGGACTGCTTTCGTTCGCCAGCTGTACTAGCCCCAACAATAGAACTGTTATAAGCATATTTTAAATACTGTTTTAGTCTTCAGCATGGTCCAAAATTATTTTCTTGTCTTAAAGAATAATTTTCTCCTTTTTTCATTGGTTTAGCCCAAACTGACTGGGGATTTCACCGCGTGACGTGGTCCTGCGTTGGAACTGAGAGCCATGTGTCGGCGTCACCTCGGCCCGGGGTGACGCACCGCCACCACCGCCGCCGCCCCGGAGAGGAGGGCTACTTGTCGGCTCGGTGATCCGGGACCAGGAGGGCGATGGGGAGAGGGAGGAGGAGGAGGGGTGTGTGCCATTGTGCCCTGCCCGCGCTCCCCCCGCGCCCTTTCGGACCCAGCGACTCGTTGAGAGCCAATTGTCCTGCGTGGACCTGGTGCCGCCAGACTGCGCCCGTATCGGCGGCGCATGGCGGCGCCAGCGGCGCCACACGCCCGGCCCGACCCTATGGCGCCTAGTTGCTTGCGACGGCGGTGATGTTTATTTCACTAACTCACTATCTCCGAATTCTCAATGAAAAGTTAAAAATGTTTCGACAGGGTTGACGAACTTTAGTGTTGTAAATTTGGTTTATTTTGTGGAAAAATTAAAATATTGCTGTTTTTGTGTTTCCCCCATGATTTTTTTTTCACCTGTTTTCCGGGTCGTGCAGGTGGGAGAGCGGGGGTGGCCTATTTATCACGAGGGCCGCCGTGACTGACGGAACACGATCCCCGCGCATCCCGTCCGACGCCCAGTGCCTGTCCCAGTCAGACAGCCAATCCCCGATCCCTGATCCTCGCGCGCCTTTACATCCTGACGGAGTGCAATACACCGGCGCCGCGCCGGGGGGCCCGGGCCCGGAGGAGGCTGTCCTCCCCTTGAAATACGAAAATCAGTCCGGTTCTTGTCGGGGTTTCCGCCTCCGCGCCTCCGCCTCTCTGCCGCGCCCTCCGAGAAGGGCGTCGTTCTTTATGATGACGTGGAAGACGTTCACCTCCGTCACGCCGCCGCCGGTGCGGTGGCGGCGGCCCGCCTGGCGCCACAATGCCTATCCACCAACCAGCCCGAGGCCGCCGCGGCCGGCCCGCGCGGGCGCTCGCGTGCGATATTTGCATTTCAATCCGACTTTTTCCATCGCATTACCGGGGGACTCGGACGCGTCTCCAAGACGAGCGCTGGCCTCACACAGCGCGGGGCAGCAGGAGGAGGGTAGGGCGTCGGGGCGAATCTTAGCGTGCAAAGTGGGTCCGCGCCGCCGGGCCGCGCCAAATCTAATTCGAGAATTCGAAACAAAACAAGACTGAAACATATTCGCGCGGGTGGGATTTTCAATCTCCGCGGAGCGGAGTCCTGCGGCACGTCTCGCGGGGCAGAGGGAGAAAAATATTATGTATCTCCGAAATCAGCAGCAAGGACTCTTGGGCGATGATTTACGCGTCACCGACGACGGCGACGGCGGCGGCGCCGAGGAGGACGAACGTCTGACGGACTCGGGGACGACGACGTTTATGGCAAAGATAGAAAATAAATAAGAAACGGTCACGCCAGGGCTCGCTTTGAAAATAACGCGCACGCGTCGTAATAAGCATTGTAATAAAACGGTACGGCCTCCCCGCCGCACGACTCACCCAGTGCCTTTAGTTTTACGATCCCCCCTCCCCTCTTACTGCCCCACCGAAAAACCATTGAACCGCTACCAAATGTAGACGCACGCCAAGCTGCAAAGCTCGCGCGAGCCGCCCGCACCGCCCCAACCCCACCACGCCACGCCCCACCCCGCTGACGTCATTGCTCGCGGCGAATAGCGCAGCATGGTGACGACTCTCTACAACATGTCCTGCCTGCTTTACGACGCTTCGCTTCATCAATGAGTGGCCGTCGTCTTTTTTCCCCTTTCTTCCTCCCCTCTGTCCAGTCCTCCCCTTCCCCTTCCCCCTCTCTCCACACCCTTACTTTCCCCCTTTTCCCCCTCCCCCCTGGTTTTCCGTGCGAATGCGCAACGCCGCCCGTTGCATCCGCTAATTATGCGAATGCCCCGTAAAACATTTAGGCGATAAGGCTGGCTTTCGCGGGATAGGGGGCCGCGATAGGTGGAGATGGGGAGGGGGAGG